CAGAAGCCTTTGTTCTTTTGCTGAGGGAATGGAATTTGATAAAATCTGGCCATTAGGTTTGAGTGCATTAATTTTACAGCTACTGTATAAGCATAAATGTGTACACATTAACATATTTAATATTTAATAGTACAGTGAACACTTTTTGAGACTGTAATATTGTCTCAGTATAGTTACAGCAAAAAGTATAGTAGTAAGACTTCTGTCGGTGAACTTCCACTGCTAAAATTTTCCTGGATTTCAAAGGAAAAGCATAAGTGATGCTAGTCTGAAGGCCAAATGGGATTTCAGTGGGCAGAATTGGCACTGGAGGGTGCTCCAGGGAGAATGAATGACATTGACAATGACATAACATTAAATATCCTGCTTCAGTAATGATGCCTGATTTCCACCCACGTGGGGAAAGGTGAAAGACAAGGAGAAGAAGATTGTACAAGGTTGTGTTTAGAGGACTTTGAATGTTGGACTTAGGATTTGGGGTCTTTAGTAAGAAGATAATGGAGAGCTATTGGGGATTTTTGAATAGTGTCATAACAAGCTTAACTTTGACTTAAAGATTAATCTAGAAGATATGCAGAGGTTAGGTTGAGGAAATTTCCAGCTAAGACCTGTGAAGAGATTATTATAATAGTTCACACAGAGATATAAGGATTTGAAATGAAGGAAAGAAGTGGATTAGAGTCCAGTTTTTCAGCCTGTTTTCTAGAACTCCAGGAGTATGGGACAGACCTGGGGGTAGGGGGTGGGGGAAAGAATATATCAACTGAACAACAACTTAAAACTCTTTGTGACAGAAAAGGATCTCTTTAAAAGATCCCTGTTAGTATCTCTTTAAAGAAAAGATTCTGCTGCTTAAGGAACAAAGAAGTCCATAGAGAAATTTTTTTTTTTTTAAGTTTATATCGACGTTTGTTTGGAGCCTTTGGTTTTTAAACTCATACTTCTTTCATAGCCCCTTTTCCAAAGTTTTGAGCCTTCATAGTCCGGAAAATAGTTGTTGTCATTAGCTGAAATAAATCAAGCTGTGTCCTTTTTTTTTTTTTTTTTTTTTACACCACATGGCTTGTAGGATCTTAGTTCCTTGACCAGGAATTGAACTTGGGCCCCAGCAGTGACAGCACCAAGTCCTAACCACTGAACCACCAGGGGATTCCTGAGTTGTGTCTGTTTGTTAATGCTGAAAGGCCACTGTCACAAAGGCATGTACTAATTTAACTCTCCAGAAACAAGGTGTTCTTGGTCAAAACCTTTAGAGTCATCCTGGGCTCTTTTTTTTTTGCTCGTGTGTATGGGGAATCCACCATGAAATCCTGCTGGCTTTACTTTATCCAACCACCGTCATCACCTCCGCTGCCCACCACCAGCACAGTCTCGGGCTTTCTGGTTGCTCTCCATCCTTGCTTCTCCAGCCTGTCCCCCCCCCGCCCCCCTTGTCACCGTGTACTTCCCGCTTAAGACCTTTGCAAGGGCTGTTCCCCTGTATCAGCAGAGTTAACACTTGTGTTTCGAGTTTGCTCAAATGTTACTTTCTCTATGGGAGCCTGCCCTGAACTTAACCCTTAATGGCAGTCCCTTCCCCTCCCATGCATACACTTTCCCTTCCTCCTTTATCTTGTTCTTCATTTTTTGCTTATGGCATTTATGCCCTAACATAGTCTGTAATTATTTATTATGTTATTTAGCTCCCCAATCCAGTTTGAGATCCAAGTTAGTAGGTGTTTTTTTTGTTTGTTTGTTTGTTTTACTTACTTGTGTATCCTAAGCAACTGAATAGTCCCTGACATGTAAGCAGTTCAGTTCAGGTCAGTTGCTCTGTCGTGTCTGGCTCTTTGCGACCCCATGAACTGCAGCACACCAGGCCTCCCTGTCCATCACCAACTCCCGGAGTTTACCCAAACTCATGTCCATTGAGTCGGTGATGCCATCCAACCATCTCATGCTCTGTCGTCCCCTTCTCATCCTGCCTTCAATCTTTCCCAACATCAGGGTCTTTTCCAATGAGTTAGCTCTTTGCATCAGGTGGGCAAAATATGAAGCTGAGTTTCAGTTTCAACATCAGTCCTTCCAATGAGCACCCAGGACTGATTTCCTTTAGGACAGACTGGTTGGACTCTCCTTGGAGTCCAAGGGACTCCAAGAGTCTTCTCCAACACCACAGTTCGAAAGCATCAATTCTTCTGCGCTCAGCTTTCTTTATAGTCCAACTCTCACATCCATATATGACCACTGGAAAAACCATAGCCTTAACTAGACAGACCTTTGATAACAAAGTAATGTCTCTGCTTTTTAATATGCTATCTAGGTTGGTCATAACTTTCCTCCAAAGGAGTAAGCGTCTTTTAATTTCATGGCTGCAGTCACCACCTGCAGTGATTTTGGAGCCCAGAAAAATAAAGTCAGCCACTATTTCCCCATCTATTTGGCATGAAGTGATGGGACTGGATGCCATGATCTTGGTTTTCTAAATGTTGAGCTTTAAGCCAACTTTTTCACTCTCCTCTTTCACGCTCATCAAGAGGCTCTTTAGTTCTTCTTCGCTTTCTGCCATAAGGGTAGTGTCATCTGCATATCTGAGGTTATTGATGTTTCTCCTGGCAGTCTTGATTCCAGCTTGTGCTTCATCCAGCCCAGCGTTTCTCATGATGTACTCTGCATATAAGTTAAATAAGCAGGGTGACAATATACAGCCTTGATGTACTCCTTTTCCTATTTGGAACCAGTTTGCTGTTCCATGTCCAGTTCTAATTGTTGCTTCCTGACCTGCATACAGGTTTCTCAAGAGGTAGGTAAGGTGGTCTGGTATTCCCATCTCTTGAAGAATTTTCCACTGTTTATTGTGATCCACACAGTCAAAGGCTTTGGCATAGTCAATAAAGCAGAAATAGATGTTTTTCTGGAACTCTTTTGCTTTTTCGATGATCCAGCAGATGTTGGCAATTTGATCTCTGGTTCCTCTGCCTTTTCTAAAACCATCTTGAACATCTGGAAGTTTATAGTTCACGTATTGCTGAAGCCTGGCTTGGAGAATTTTGAACATTACTTTACTAGTGTGTGAGATGAGTACAATTGTACAGTAGTTTGAGCATTCTTTGGCATTTCCTTTCTTTGGAACTGGAATGAAAACTGACCTTTTCCAGTCCTGTGTCCACTTCTGAGCTTTCCAAATTTGCTGACATATTGAGTGCAGCATTTTCACAGCATCATCTTTCAGGATTTGAAATAGCTCAACTGGAATTCCATCACCTCCACTAGCTTTGTTCGTAGCGATACTTCCTAAGGCCCACTTGACTTCACATTCCAGGATGTCTGGCTCTAGGTGAGTAATCACACCATTGTGATTATCTGGGTCGTGAAGATCTTTTTTGTACAGTTCTTCTGTGTGTTCTTGTCACCTCGTCTTAATATCTTCTGCTTCTGTTAGGTCCATACCATTTCTGTCCTTTATTGAGCCCATCTTTGCATGAAATGGGGCTTCCCTGGTGGCTTAGAGGTTAAGGCATCTGCCTCCAATGTGTAGGACCTAGGTTCGATCCCTGCTTTCGATCCCTGGGTCAGGAAGATCCCCTGGAGAAGGGAATGGCAACCCACTCCAGTATTCTTGCCTGGAGAATCCCATGGACGGAGGAGCTTGGTAGGCTACAGTCCACAGAGTCGCAAAGAGTTGGACATGACTGAGCGACTTCACTTCCTTTTCTTCTTTCTTGCATGAAATATTCCCTTGGTATCACTAATTTACTTGAAGAGATCTCTAGTCTTTCCTATTCTGTTTCCTATGAAAACCATACTGGAGTGTACCTATGGGCCCCAGGAGATACAGGTGGTTCTTTTAAATTGCTTTTGGTTGATAAGCTGTGCAACTTCGTATGCTGCTCTGGAGGCCAAAGTACGTGAGGCATGAGACCATGGCACTATTTCCTATGACATGTAATAGGCCCTCCATAAACGTTGTTAAAAGAAGGAAGGACCTCTAAGAGCATGAAATCATTAAGCTTGGTTACCAGGCTTCTTGCTCTTAGCAGATCTGAGAAATTGAATGAGAGAAAGGTGGGATGCTGCTTAAGTCAACCTGTGTTCCTTGGACCTGAATCATTGGTGGTAACTGGCTTGGATAAAACAGGCCTGGAAAGTGCTGCATAAACTGTCCCTTTACTAGAAAATCACATTATCTGTTGGCATGGTAATCACCATAAGAACTCCTCCAGTAACCTCTGCTTGAACTCACTGAGTCACAGAACTCTCATTTGGTAGCTCTTATTATGGAACACTCTTGGCTCCTGGTGAACAGAGTTTGAGGAAAACCATATTGGGGCGTACCTGTGGGCCCCAAGAGAGATGGGTGGTTCTTTTAAATTGCTTTTGGTTGATAAGCTGTGCAACTTCGTTTGCTGCTCCAGAGGCCAAAGTACATGAGGCATGAGACCACGGCTCTTAGTTCCTACTCATCCTTTTATTTATTTTTTTTAAGATTTATTTTATTGACATATAGTTGATTTACAGTGTTGTGTTAATTTCTATGTACAGCAAAGTGATTCAGTTATATATACATATATATTCTTTTTCATATTCTTTTCGTATTATGATTTATCACAGGATATTGAATATAATTCCCTATGCTATACAGTGGGACTTTATGGTTGGTTTATTCGTTCTATGTATAATAGTTCACATCTGCTAATTTTAACCTTCCAGTCCATCCCTCCCCTACCCCTCCATCCCTTGCAACCGCAGGTATATTCTTAGTGTCTGTTGTGAGTCTGTTTCTTTTCTGTAGTTAGGTTCATTTGTGTTGTGTTTTAGATTCCACATATAAGTGATATCATATGATATTTGTCTTTGTCTGGTTTACTTCATTTAGCATGATAATCTCTAGGTCTATCCATGTTTCTGCAAATGGCATTGTTCTGCTCTATTTTATGACTGAGTAATATTCCATTGTATATATGTAGCACATCTTCTTTATTCATTCATAAAATCCTTTTAAAAGTTAGCTTTTATTTTAGGTATTTGGGAACAAGATGATCATTCCTTCCCTGGATGGAGACCTCTTCCAGTGGGACCGGGATCGTGAGAGCATGGAAACAGTTCCGTTTACAGTTGAATCACTTCTTGAATCATCTTATAAATTTGGAGATGATGTTGTCTTGGTTGGAGGAAAGTCTCTCACTACATATGGACTCAGTGCATATAGTGGAAAGGTGAGTAAAAATGTTCAATTTGATTGGGGAGAAGTCAGTCTAAATAAGAATAGAAGAAATAATTTCTTAAACTGTACTATTACTGGTTGAGATCTGTTATAATTTTCCCCCGAGGCTGTCATTTCTTTTGATAAAAGAACTGTGAAGTAGAAAGGGGGAAATACTATTAAAAGAAACGGAATTTATCCAAAATAACAGAATAAACAGCAGAGTCAAACAGCAGAGCCAGGAATAGCAGAAGGAAGAGAATGAATAACTGTGATCTGCTGTGTGTCAGTTGCATTTTTCATGCATCATTTTGAGATCATCACAATATTTCTAATGGTTGCATTAAAAAATTTTTATTTGGATAGATGAAAAACACTCCAAGGATTAATAATAATCCTGATGATAAGAATAATTGCTACTACTATTTATTTCTCTAGTTTGAGCCTGTCATGAGAGAATCTAAGAGGCAAGTCTGTGCTCATTTTAGGATGAAAAAATTGAGGCTTTCAAAGGTTCAGAAACTGCCAAGGTCAAATTTGATTTAAATCTGTCTGATGAAAAAGTCATGCTGTTAATGACCTATGCTTTCTCCGTTATTAGCTCTTAGGAAATAATCTGACTCTTAAGATTGGATCTTATAAATCCATTGTTGGGAATAACTAAAAACACACTTTTTTAGAAAGGTGAAAATTTCTTTCTAACCCCTTAACACATCAATGCTTGAATATTTGTATATAGACTTGAAAACAAGGAAGAATAGAAAAAAGGTCTTTGATCCTTGAGTTTTCCAAACTTTATGATCCCTTGTCTGAGTGTTCGGCCCATCGGCCCTTCTTGTTCTCGCAGACTTTTTTGCCTTCTCCAGCCACCTGCATCTGTACTGTACTGAGGGGGCCTTGTGGTCCTCTTTCTCCTCCAGTGCTCTCATCGGTAAAACAGTGGGACTGAACCTGAGCACCTAGTTTTGTGATTTGATGTGCTGCTCCAAAATTCTGGTATCCTAGCAGGTACACTTTCTGTGAGGATTTTGGTCACACCATCCAAAGAATTTCCCCTTTCCTCTGAATGAGGATTTGAAGGAGGTACTTGAAAATGCTAACAGCTGTTAGAGAAGGTTTGAATTTTTTAGAACTAAATGCTTCTGTTGTATGGAAACTCCGAGGCGATTTTTCCTTTTTTTTTAAACTCACCTTGGATTTTATTCATGGTATTATTACTAAGAGATCACAACTAGCTCTCCATTTCTTCATGGAAATGCTCACTGTAAGACTGAAATTGTCTAAATCCTGAAACTCGTTCACTGAAGTAAATGGTAACTGGCACTTCTATGGTTCTGAATGTTTCATTTTAGGAACTGGTGGTAATCTGGCTATTGCTGCTTTTTTTTTTCCAGTTTTTAAAAATTTATTTATTTAAAAAATTTTATTGGTGTATAGTTGATTTACAGTGTTATGTTAGTTTCAGGTATACAGCAAAGTGAATCAGTTACACACATATCCACTCTTTTTTTAAGATTCTTTTCCCATATAGGCCACTGTCATCATTGTTCAGTTGCTAAGTGGTGTCCAACTCTTTGCGACCCCTTGGACTGTAGCTTTCCAGGCACCTCTGTTCATGGGATTTTCCAGGCAAGAATACTAGAATGGGTTGCTGTTTCCTTCTCCAGTGAACCCATGTCTCCTGCTTTGGCAGGCGGATTCTTTACTGCTGAGACACCAGGGAAGCCCATATAGGCCATTACACAGTATCGAGCAGAGGTCCTTGTGCTAAACAGTATAGCTGTTGCTTCTTAATCCTTGGGTACTTTTTACACATTTCCTCAATTTCCTTTCACTTTTTATAAATCATCGAGAGTCTTGTACTGTCTCTGGTCTCCTGGAACATGTTCTCTTTACCAGTTTTACATCTGTATTTTCAGGTGAGGTACATCTGTTCAGCTCTGGGTTGTCGCCAGTGGGATAATGATGAAATGGAACAAGAAGAAGACATCTTGCTTCTGCAGCGCACCCAGAAAACTGTGAGAGCTGTTGGACCTCGCAGCGGCAATGAGAAGTGTGTATTTAGATGATGTTGCTGTTGATGTTTAGAAGTACAGTAAGAGCAGAGTTCATCGGCTTTTTCTTTGTTGAAATTTTCTGAACGGTTTTGTTTCCCCAGAAGCATACTACTTTTTAAGGAGAAATGTAGCCCCTTGATTTATCTGTTTATTTATGCTGTGCTGGGTCTTGGTTGCAGCACACAGGCTTCTCCAGTTGTGATGAGTGGCATGTGGGATCTTAGTACCCCCACCAAGGGTTGAACCCACATCCCCTGTGTCGGAAGGCAGATTCTTTACCACTGGACCATCAGGGAAGTCCTTGTAGCCCCTAAATTTATTTATTTATTTATTGATGTCTTCTTTTTTTTTTTCCATTTATTTTTATTAGTTGGAGGCTAATTACTTTACAACATTGCAGTGGTTTTTGTCATACATTGAAATGAATTAGCCATGGATTTACATGTATTCCCCATCCCAGTCCCCCCTCCCACTTCCCTCTCCACCCCATCCCTCTGGGTCTTCCCAGTGCACCAGGCCCGAGCACTTGTCTCAGTAGCCCCTAAATTTAAAACAGCTTCATGACAATTAATATTAACAAATCTTGAGCTGAACTTCTCACCATGTGCTTTCAGATATGGTAACCAGGAGGAGTCCCATACAATGACTGTATATTAGCTTTGTTGTTGTTAATTGCTTAGTCGCTCAGTTATGTTTGACTCTTGATGCCATGGATTGTAGCCCCCCAGGTGTTTCTGTCCATGGGGTTTCCTGGGTAAGAATACTGGAGTGAGTTGCCATTTCCTCCTCCAGGGCTTCTTCCCCACTCAGGGATTGAAACCAAATCTCTGCGTCTTCTGCATTGCAGGAAGATTCTTTACCAGAGTCACCAGGGAAGCCCATATATTAGCTTAGTTTTAGGTTAATGATACTTTTCACAGCAACCTCACTGGTCAAAGTTCTTTGAACACAGAAAGAAAAAGCTGATGTGCTTTGTTTTACTTGGGCCTGTTGGACTCTGAAGTTCTCTCTGGTAGATAGTTTTGTGGTTTGTCTGACTACCACCTCAATTTTAAATTTTAATCTATTTTCTTAAAGTGTTAAAGTGTAATTTATTTGGTCAAATACTTTTTTGTTTCCTTTTTCAAGTAATGTAAATTTTTACATTTAAAATAACGTGATTAGGGACTTCCCTGGTGGCCCAGTGGTTGAGAAATCTGCCTTCCAATGCAGGGGGATCTGGGACCAATCCCTGACCAGGGAACTAAGATCCCACACACTACGGGGCAAATAAGCCCACATGCCACAACTAGAGAGAAGCCTGCACACCACAGCAAAGGGTCCTGCTTGCCGCAACTAAGACCCAACGCAGCCAAATAAATAAATATTTAAAAAGCTAAAATAAAATTACGTGATTGGATTAGATATGCTAGTGGTCATAAATTACATGCTTGACTTTTTAAAAACCTAATGTTTAAATTCTAAATTGCCATGCAATAAAAAGAATTTGAGAGCCCATCTTTATCTTTTTGAAAGTGAACCAGACTTTGAGATTTTGTCTAATTTGATGCACAATAATTGTTTCCTGAAAACTTTTCTCAAGTTTCGTGAAGAATGTATTCTCTCTTCATTCCCTGGACTGTAAGTTGAGGACTTTGCTGGCAACCAGAGCTCCTTTATCCTGATGAGATTTTGTTTCCCTAAATGTTGAGTGCTTGTTGCGTGTTCAGCCACCATAGGAGCAGATGTTCAACTTAACAGAATTTGAATTATCAGAATGGGAAGAATCTGACGTCTGAGATTACTTTTTAACTGATGTCAGAATTCTAGGGCCATTTTATATCTAAGTGTCAAGACCATTGTAGTGTCAATAGATATGTGATTTTTCTATATGTTAATTATAGAGGAAACATTACTGCTACCACTTTACAAATATGGACACTAAAACTCAGACAAGGTTAAGGCTAACCAGATCTCAGTCAGTAGAGAACTGATTGGAGCTGAGGTGTTATGACCTTCAGACTTGATATACTGGGTCACATTGCCTTTCAAGGCTCTATTTTCATAAAAATCTAAAATTGATGTATTCTTCTTGCCTTTTACATTGGCTTATTGGGATATCCCAATAAGGGTTAATTTCTCAACACTTGAGTGAAAGGTTTCCACACTTTAATTAAGAAGTAGGACCGACTGCAAGCTGCGTCATTTTGATGTGACTTTAATGTGTTTTGAGAAAATCACCTTGATTTAGAAATGTGAACATTTGTTAATCTTTGAGAGAAAAATCTATCCCATAGCTGTTGTCAGATCACAGCTCTCAGAATCAGTTTCTAAGGGTCATGACCCAAGTTACGCCCTCTTGTGGCTAAAATCAGTAGTGTGCTCTTTTCTAGAAGATTGTTTAATTGTTCTTTTCTCATCACCCAGATTTTAGTGTTTGTTTCTTCACTCTACAAGAGTTCTTTATTGTTTGGTCCCTTTTTTAAAATGTAAATTTCTAAAACACGCCTTTGTAAATTTAAGGTGGAATTTCAGTGTTGGCCACTTTGAACTTCGGTATATTCCAGACATGGAAACTAGAGCCGGATTTATTGAAAGCACTTTAAAGCCCAGTGGAAACAAAGAACAGTCTAAAATCATTTCAGACGTGGAAGAGCAGGAAGCTGTCATGATGGATACAGTGATAAAGGTCTCCGTTGCGGATTGGAAAGTTATGGCGTTTAATAAGAAGGGAGGACACCTGGAGTGGGAATACCAGGTACCTAGAACCACTGAGAATTTATGAACCTGTTTCTTTCCTTCTCAGTCTGACCAGACATGTTGGGTAGAGGGAGGTGATGCCATTTTGCAGTTTTTCAACTTGTTCTCTGTGCTCTAAGAAATTTGTGATTTTACATCGGTTAAAATGTGAAAGTTGCTCAGTCGTGTCTGACTCTTTATGACCCCATGGACTATACAGTCCTTGGAATTCTTCAGGCCAGAATACTAGAGTGGGTAGCCTTTACCTTCTCCAGGGGATCTTCCCAACCCAGGGATCAAATCCAGGTCTCCTGCATTGCAGGTGGATTCTTTAGCAGCTGAGCCACAAGGGAAGCCCTCTGTTAGAATGGCTATTATGAAAAAGACAGAAGATAGCAAGTGTGGGTGAGGTGAGCAGCGTACAGCAGCGTTTCTTTGACCTAGATGTTATGGAAAACAGCATGGGGGATCCTTACGATATTAAACAGAAGTGAAGAGAGTTGATCTTAAATATTCTTAAAACACACATACAAAATAACTATGAAATGATGGATATATCAGCTTGATTGTGCTAATTATTTCACAGTGTGTACATGTACCAAAATATCACATTCTATACCATAAATGGCTTCCCAGCCCAGGGAGCTCAGTGTTATAGACCCACCTGCCATGCAGAAGACACGGATTCAATCCCTGGGTCGGGAAGATCTCCTAGAGAAGGAAATGGCAACCCCCACCAGTATTCTTGCCTGGGAAATTCCATGGAGAGAGAAGCCTGGCAGACTATAGTCCATGGAGTCACAAGAGTTTGACACGGCTTAGCAACTAAACAACAATATCATAAGTACATACATTTTTATTTTCCAGTTATACCTCAGTAAAGCTGAACAACAACAAAAAAGCTGGAAAAGTGAAAATTTTTAAAATAAATCTGTGGTTTTAAATGGTATTTCAGGAGTTGGGATATATATAAATACTGCTTGAAGATATTAAAATTTTCTTTTCCATTTTTATTTGTTTGTTTGTTTAGTTTTGTACTCCCATTGCATCTGCCTGGTTGGTTAAGGATGGCAAAGTCATTCCCATCAGTCTTTTTGATGATACAAGTTACGCCCCCAATGATGGAGTTTTAGAAGATGAAGAAGATATTGTAGAAGCTGCCCGGGGAGCCACAGAAAACAGTGTTTACTTGGGTGAGTGGATGTCTCTTATCTTGAGATAGTACATGTTGAATCCAGGTTTTATTCCTACATGGTCTTTCCCTACTCTAGGTGTGCCTATAGTGGTTTTAATTCCTTAGTACATTCTCTGGCCTTAAGATTTATACTTTGATTTCGGTTCTGCAGTGTTTTCTCATTTTTTCAGTTCTGAAACTTCTAATTACCATAGTGTATTCTTTTTCTTGGAGACCTTTATTTAAAAGGCTTAAAAATGTTGCCATTATGTAGCATGGTTTCATGTTACTTATGTATCCTCAAAGTCTAAAACTTTAAAGATCATGTTTAGTTCTTTCTATGCGTCTATACAGTGTATCTGAAAAATTAAAACAAAATGCTTGTGTGCTACTGGACAATTGAAAGCCTTTAATACATTTTGAAAACCCTAAAATCTAATTATTTGAATTAATTTTGTGGCCAAATACTCATAAAATTCTTTTAGCGCTATCAATGTGCTACCCACCCCTCAATCTCAGCGAAATGCAAGAATTTGAAAGAGTGACATGTCACACACGTGATATGATAGTATTTAATTGAATTGTTAGTATATTGTGAATGACAGGTGTTTAGGTTTTCTTTAAGAAAAGGTTACTTCATCTAAGCTATTAGTTTCCTAAGAGAACAATTATTTCTTTCAATTTTCCTGCCAGAGGGGTTTTCCAGTTTTTACCAAAGATTATTCAGTGAGAAACATTGTAACTGGTACATAAATTTCCTGCCCTGTTTTTGTTGAATAACCTTTGGGTCAAATTTGAGTGCGTCATGCATGAGTCTTTGAAAAGAGCTGTGTAGCACATGAATAAATAACTGAAATTCGTCTAATTTTATTAAACCAAAATGAACCTTTTTGAAAAAAAAAATCATTGGCACTTGATTCTAAATGTGATTGACAGGGTTCTGGTTGATTTAGGAATGTACAGAGGCCAGCTGTATCTGCAGTCATCAGTCAGAATTTCAGAAAAGTTTCCTACGAGTCCCAAGGCCTTGGAATCTGTCAATAGTGAAAATGCTATTATTCCTTTGCCAACCATCAAATGGAAACCTCTAATTCGTAAGTGAACTGTGAACTTTTGTAAATGTTATTAAGATGTTCAGAGGCCTGATCATGACTGTCGTTGCCCTAGTTTTGAGTATCACAAGGATCACAACTGACATATACTCTGTAATTTCTAATGGCCTCCTAATGGCTCAGCAGGTAAAGAACCTGCCTGCCAATACAGAAACAGGTTCGCTCCCTGAGTCGGGAAAATCCCCTGGGGGAGGAAATGGCTACCCACTCCAGTATTCTTGCCTGGAGAATCCCATGGATAGAGGAGCCTGGTGGGCTACAGTCCATGGGATCACAAAGAGTAGGACATGACTGAGCACACATGCTCGTCCTTTCTAATAAGTGGGGAAGGTATTTCAGAAGTTAATGAATTTTAATTATCATTTTGCAACATGATTTCATCAAAGCAACAGCTGCTTCTGTAAAATCAGTGTTAATAATAAAATGTTTCTCTAGACAGGTTAGAAAAACTTCTAACCATTCTCTGACCATGCCTTGGTATCATTTAGTTTATATTAAGAATATTTGTGAAACATTATCTGGCTATCACATCATACTTCTTTGAGACACTCAAATGAATTGAATTCAAATACTAAGCCATCTATTTTCTTCAGCTGTCTTTCTCTACCTTGTATATGTTTTTTTTTAATCACATACACCACATCATATTTTAATGACTTGTATAAATGACTCATCTTCTCTATAAGACTGCTTTTCAAGGGAAAAAACCTTGGGCCATTGTTTGACTAACATATTTAAACTGAACTGTGGTTGAATATCTGTGTTTTGAATGAGTGAGGCATACACATTTTCATTAAAATCATAACAGTTAAGATTTCACTGTTTTCTCTTAGATTCTCCTTCTAGAACTCCTGTCTTGGTGGGGTCTGATGAATTTGACAAATGTCTCAGTAATGATAAGTTTTCTCACGAAGAGTACAGTAATGGTGCACTTTCAATCTTGCAGTATCCTTATGGTAAGTGTGATTACATTTGAACTGAAAATGGTGTCTGATTTTTCTATTTATTTTAGTTTATTCATTTGAAATTAATTAATAGAATTCAAATGCAGGGTAATCAGTTGGAGGGTAAAAAATAAAATATCTTGGGAAGCAAATGTTGTATATGGTGGCCAAGGTTCCAAAGACTGTTTGCAGGGGTTTTGTCACATGCTCGATTGGACACACCTAACTTACCTATGTCTCTATTCCTTTGTCTGTAAAACAAAGATACAATAATCCTATATATCTATTTATAGAATTGTTCTAAGGTCTAAGTGAGATAATGCAATCTTTTTTTGTTTTGACGTGTACACGCTGCTATGTTTCTGTTTTTATTTTCGGCTGCACTGGGTCTTCGTTGCTGCATGCGGGCCTTCTCTAGCTGTGCAGAGCCGGGGGCTGCCCACCGTGAGAACGCAAGGGCTGCTCATTGCGGTGGCTTCTCTTGTTGCAGGGCACAGGCTCTCGTGCGCGAGGGCTTCAGTAGTTCTGATGCATGGGCTCATTAGTTGTGGCTTGTGGGACCTAAAGCATCCAGGCTTCAGTAATTGTGACTAAGTGGTTGTGACTCATAGGCTCTGAAACACGGTTGTGGCATGTGGGCTTAGATACCCCTCAGTATGTGGAATCTTCCCAGACCAGGGATTGAACCCGTGTCCCCTGCTCTGGCAGATGGATTCATATCCACTGCGCTACCAGGGAAATCCAATAATGCTTTGTCTTAATTAGCACCAAGTCTGGCAAATAGTCAATGTTCGGTAAGCCTTAGTTCTTGTTATTACCTCTTATTTAATGATCAGCTTATATAATATAGTCTATGTAATATCTGTCTGTATAGTGAAAATAGATGTTTCCTGTAGAGCTATGTGAAAATGCTATACAATGGGATTATTTTAATTTTGTTTTAAGACAAGGAAAATTAGCATGGAAGTCAAAAATAGGTGAAATTTGGCATGTAACACATTCCTATTTATTTACGAAAGTGAAAGTGAAGTCGCTCAGTTGTGTCCGACTCTTTGTGATGCCATGGACTGTAGCCTACCAGGCTCCTCTGTCCATGGGATTTTTCAGGCAAGAATACTGGAGTGGGTTGCCATTTCTCTCTCCAGGAGATCTTCCTAGCCCAGGGATTGAACCCAAGTCTCCTGCATTGTAGGCGAACCCTTTACCATATGAGCCACCGGGAAAGTTAGGGTATGTTCAGATATGAAAGTCTTTTGAACAATTGAACATTAAAAAAAAAAAAATCCTTGAATCTGTATTAGGCAAAAACATAGACTCCTTATCAGTTACTTACCCTAGATGGTAGAACTGGGAAGTTATTGTAGAATTTAAATTGATTTAGTGAAAAAAAAACAACAACAACAACAAAGTGCTAAAGTCTGTTATTGATCAACATAGAGGGTAAAAGAGAACTGTGTAATCTGCCCACATGGTGTAAAACAGAAGTTAAAAAGAAAAACTGCTTTCTAGGACAGACTCATTTTGACAGCCTAAAATGAACCAGAGAGCACAGTGGAAATGTTTTCCTTTCCTTGTGAAGAATGAACCATGCTAAAATTTGGTATTTTGGTATTTTGGGGGGGCTAAAGAGAGGCCTGGCATGCTGCCATTCATGGGGTCGCAGAGTCGGACACTACTGAGTGACTGAACTGAACTGAACTGAAAGGAAAGTTTAAAATCCTCGAAGAAGGTTTGAGTACTAATTTTTTCTTCCACTTAAGGGATTGAATTATTAATGAGATAATAAGAGGTGTTTTTTTTAGTCTTATTATTATTCAATAGAAAGAAAATGTATGATGTTATGGAATAAAGAAAAATATATCTGTGTAGAAGGAAGAAAAAGCACGGTAAGTGAGGCTGTGGAAATGTTCTAAAGAAGAGATGAAACTTTAGGAAAAGGAATTGAAAGTGTTATGTCATAGGAAATGAGATAATTTTTAGCAATTAATGGTAGAACTATATTGGTTTATCTTTTAAAAAATATATAATGTTTATTTTTTTGAAGATAATGGTTATTATCTGCCATACTATAAGAGGGAGAGAAACAAACGGAGCACGCAGATCACAGTCAGATTTCTTGACAACCCGAATTACAAGAACATCCGCAAAAAGGACCCCGTTCTTCTCTTACACTGGTGGAAAGAAATAGTTGGAACCATCGTGTTTTGTATCGTAGCAACAACTTTCATTGTACGCAGACTCTTCCATCCTCATCCTCACAGAGTAAGACATTTTTTAGAATCTCATTTATTTCAAAGTGTTGGGACTATAGAAAGCTCTGTGTGTGTGTGTGTGTGTGTGTGTGTGTGTGTGTGTGCGTGCGCGTGCGCACGTGTGCCCATGTGCTGGGCAAGGGGTATGTTTCCTTAAATTTCACCCTAAAATCACTGTTGCCTATACTTTTGTTTCCGTGTGAATGTCACCCCTCCTTCACTCTTCAACCCTGGCTCCACCCTGATCACTTCCCTTCCCTTTGATAAAGAAAATGCTGTTGTTCTGCGTTCTTCTAATACAGTTTCTCAGTATTGTTTGTTCTTCCATGTTATTTTGCAGCCTAATATTGTTAGCTAACTTCAATTCAGCTTTTGTACTGAGAGTGATTTTTTTCCCCCACCTCTTCAGCAAAGGAAGGAATCTGAAACTCAGTGTCAAACTGAAAATAAATATGATGCTGTCAGTGGAGAAGCTAATGACAGTAGCTGGAATGACATAAAAAATTCTGGATACGTGTCACGGTAAGAGTCTTATGCTAAAGTGCATGTGTGTGCATTGTAGCTTCTGGTGGTGACTGTTCAAATCCAGAAAGGAATAGCCTTAGATACAGAGAACAAATGGATTGCCAGAATGGAGAGGAGTGGCACTGGTGGGCGAAATAGATGAAGACTAGAGTAGTTGTTCATTTAACATGTGCTCTAAACCTCCAGTTATATAATAAGTCACAGGGATATAATAGACAGTGTAAGGAATATGGTTAATTATACTGCAGTAACTGTCTATGGAAACAGATGGTTACTAGACTTACTGTGGTGATCATTTTATATTGTATACAAATGTCAAATTGTTAAATGGTGCACCTGAAACTTACATATTATATGCCAACTATATTTCAATTAAAAAAGAAGAAACAGCCTCTAAACTAAGGTCTTGTTTAACTTGGTTTTTTTTAATGTATGTGTACTAAGTCGCTTCAGTCACATCCAACTCTTTTTGACCCTGTGGACTGTGGCCCATCAGGCTCCTATGTCCATGGGATTCTCCAGGCAAGAATACTGGAGTGGGTTGCCATGCCCTCCTCCAGGGGATTTTCCAGACCCAGGGATCAAAACTTATTATCTTATGTCTCCTTCATTGGCAGGCAAGTTCTTTACTCCTTGTACCACGTGGGAAGCCCTGAAACAGACTTATCTTTCAAGTTACTTAAACTCATTCAAAGTGGCGTATAAGATGGATAGAAGTATAGTGTTACAAAAGTTTAAGAATACAGCCACCATGTATGTCAATTACATCTCAGTAAAATTGGAATTAAAAAAAGAATTATGGCCACAAAATTGAGTTGTTATTCAGATAACTTAGTTATTGAGGGTTTGCCATGTACTGGGCTTGACATTAATAATTGATAATTATTACATTACTAAAATATGATATAAATGATAATGTTAATTATTATATTATTAGAGTATGATATAAATCTCCTGTGTGACTTAATCCTCAGTTATTTATCTCATCCTTATTCTGTCTAAAATAAAAAGCAAAAGAATGGGAGGAATATACCAATAGAATAAATCATTGTTAAAAGCAGAAGAGATTGGTTATTTAAAAAGCAGCCAAGTCAAATAATTTGAAAGTAAAATATAAGTAGAGAATCTGTTAGCAGGTCTGTCAGGTGTATGGATTTTAGTGCTTTGTGGGACTAGAAATGATGCTGTGGTTCAGTTTTCTTATTCCATGGGTTATTGCTACATTTCCCCTTGGTTTTGATATCATGCCTAGCACTTCCATAATGTCGGGACAAGGGGAAGTTCTGTATGAAACTTATTGCTTAATATCCAGGATAACAACAGCTTTATGACAGAAAAGACTGATAATTACAACTAAAATGTGTGTTATTTTGATTATCTGTGAATTTATCTAAGCTGCATTCATACTGTATTCTCAAAAATTGAGAATTGACTGTAATCAGTATGTTCTAGCAAAACATCCTGGGTGACCAGCAAATGGTAAATAAAGGCTTTAAAACCCTTGCTAATAGAGACGCTGACTTATATGTCAGTGGCCAACACCACCAGCAGGCAGGGAGGGAGAGGAGAGGGGGCCCCACCAGCTCCACGGGCAGTTCACTACCCAAGCCATTCATTGTTCATTCAACTTCTATTATGAAAAATTGTGTGCAGGACAGTAGGTTAGGCTTTGGGAGAAATATCAGTAAGAAGACTGGGCTTATCACCTGAAGGAGCTTAACGTCTGTGGAAGAAGGTGATACTAGATAAAACATAAACATATGAAGGAAAAAAACCATGAGCTAAGTGACTAATCCTGATTGTGATGATTCAGGAAGGTGTCATAAATGAGGTCACATTTTCATTGAACCATAAATCATGAGTAAGTGACAGGTGGAGATGGAGGGTAAGTGGGGTATGATGAATAAGCATATATTTGTAAGGCTGTTCTGAAGAGAATTGGGATAATGTACTCTAAAATTGTATCAGACTTAATTTTCCTTTCATTTTATTCAATATGAAGAGAATGCTGGTTGTTTTTAAAATACCAGAGCTCTGTGTAATACCTGGTGTTTATTGAGTGCCTACTATGTTCTAGGCATCATTAAAAGCCCGTTGGGACCTGAGTCAAGGTGATATTTATGTTTATAAAGTCTGTGATCATGTATAGGATATGATTTTATATGTATATTATATACTTAGATTATATATATATATATATATATATATAGTGGATATACCTCTTTTTCAAAAGAAATATCCGTTTTCACATTAGTGTTTTCTTTAACGTAGGCAGATAATTCAGTTGGCCCTCCAGGAGGAGTACGTGAACTTCATGGGCTTTTGCAGTTAGGGAGATGGATTTGTACTGAAGTACCTTGAGTAGCTATTTTTAGGCATACAGATTATTACTCTTCATTCTCTGGACAGTAATTGGCCCATGGAGGGTTGGGATATATTGTCTCTCCTCCTTACACACTCTAACCAGCTGAGCCAACTGCTAAATTAATATGAGTGTGTGAGTCATAAAGTAATAAACTTAACCTTATAAGGGACACCAAAGGTAATCTAGTTCAACTCTCCCTTCTGTGGCTGGAAGATTATCTTCCACAGCACACATGCATGCATTCATTTGTTTATTAATTCATGCATTATTCGATGGATATTTGTTAGACCTTCTATTTGCCAGGTAAAACCAGACTTTGGAAATACAAAAAGAAAAAAGAATGCTTTCCTGCAGTCAAGTCTGTTAGTCACTCAGTCACGTCCAACTCTTTGCAACCCTATAGACTGTAGCCCGCCAGGCTCCTCTGTCCATGGGATTCTCCAGACAAGAATACTGGAATGGGTTGCCATTCCCTTCTCCAATGGATCTTCCTGACCCAGGGGTCAAATTAGGTCTCCTGCATTGCAGGCAGTTTCTTTACTTTTTGAGCCACCAGGTAGTCAAGTCCCCCAGTAGTGGAAACAAAAGCCCTCAAGTTTGAGAAAACCTGGTGCAAGCTGACTGGAATATACAGCCTGCATATAAATAACTGCAAAATAGTAAGACTTAATTTAAATATTCCATGTACTGTGTGCAAAGTGCTATAAGATCATTAAGATCGGGGTCTAGGAAGGCCTTACAGAGGTGGTGAGATGAGCAGAATGAATGAAGAATAGAGTTTTATTAAATCCAAAGAAGTTCCCATTGGAGCAAATAGTGGAAGCAAAAGCCCTCAAATTTGAGAAAACCTGGTGCAAGCCGACTGGAATATACAGAGCAGAGCAGCAAGGCCAGACATTAATGGGGAGATAGGCTACAAAGTCGGTCTACCTGTAAGTGCCAGATGATGAGTTAGCTCTGTCCAAATACCTTTGGACTGAACTGAACTGAACACTGTCTCCTGAGGCATCTCAGAAAATTTCAGATAGCTTTGGTTCCTAGAGAAATTTCTGGATAAACATGTACTTAAGGGACTTCCTTGGCAGTCTAGTGGTTAAGAATGCATGCTTCCACTGGAAGGGGCACGGGTTTGATCCCTGGTCATGGAACGAAGATCCCACATGCTGCTTGGTGCAGCCAAAAAAAAAAAAGTTACTTAAATATAATAGGACTGATGAAATCTTTTCCATAAAATATACAGGCACTGACATAAGAGTAAAGTACATTTTCTACTTGATTATAGAATGCCACAGGAGATAAAAGGTTAGAGAATAAAGGATTAATTATTTGATGGATGATGGAAAGTATTGGATAGGACAGAAGAGTTTTAAAATTGCTGTGAAAGCAGGATCCTCTATGACCCACATCCCAGAATTTCAGAAATAAAAGCAAAAATAAACAAATGGGACCTAATGAAACTTAAAAGCTTTTGCACAACAAAGGAAACTATAAGCAAGGTGAAAAGACAGCCCTCAGATTGGGAGAAAATAATAGCAAACGAAGCAACAGACAAAGGATTAATCTCAAAAATATACAAGCAACTCCTCCAGCTCAACTCCAGAAAAATAAATGACCCAATCAAAAAATGGGCCAAAGAACTCAACAGACATTTCTCCAAGGAAGACATACAGATGGCTAACAAACACATGAAAAGATGCTCAACATCACTCATTATCAGAGAAATGCAAATCAAAACCACAATGAGGTACCATTACACGCCAGTCAGGATGGCTGCTATCCAAAAGTCTACAAGCAATAAATGCTGGAGAGGGTGTGGAGAAAAGGGAACCCTCTTACACTGTTGGTGGGAATGCAAATTAGTACAGCCACTATGGAAAACAGTGTGGAGATTTCTTAAAAAGCTGGAAATAGAACTGCCATATGACCCAGCAATCCCACTTCTGGGCATACACACCGAGGAAACCAGATCTGAAAGAGACACGTGCACCCCAATGTTCATCGCAGCACTGTTTATAATAGCCAGGACATGGAAGCAACCTAGATGCCCATCAGCAGACGAATGGATGAGGAAGCTGTGGTACATATACACCATGGAATATTACTCAGCCATTAAAAAGAATTCATTTGAATCAGTTCTAATGAGATGGATGAAACTGGAGCCCATTATACAGAGCGAAGTAAGCCAGAAAGATAAAGACCATTACAGTATACTAACACATATATATGGACTTTAGAAAGATGGTAACGATAACCCTATATGCAAAACAGAAAAAGAGACTCAGATGTATAGAACAGACTTGTGGACTCTGGGAGAAGGCGAGGGTGGGATGTTTCAAGAGAACAGCATTGAAACATGTATATTATCTAGGGTGAAACAGATAACCAGCCCAGGTTGGGTACATGAGACAAGTGCTCGGGCCTGGTGCACTGGGAAGACCCAGAGGGATCGGGTGGAGAGGGAGGTGGGAGGGGGGACTGGGATGGGGAATACATGTAAATCCAGGACTAATTAATATCAATGTATAACAAAAACTACTGTAATGATGTAAAGTAATTAGCCTCCAACTAATAAAAATTAAAAAAAAAAAAACTACTGTAATGATGTAAAGTAATTAGCCTCCAACTAATAAAAATTAAAAAAAATAAAATAAAATAAAATAAAATTGCTGTGAAAAGACAGCCTTCAGAATGGGAAAATACAATAGCAAACGAAGCAATTGACAGAGAATTAATCTCAAAAATATACAAGCAGCTCCTGCAACTCAATGCCAGAAAAATAAACGACCCAATCAAAAAATGGGCCAAAGAACTAAACACACATTTCTCCAAAGAAGACATACAGATGGCTAACAAACACATGAAAAGATTCTCAACATCACTCATTATCAGAGAAATGCAAATCAAAACCACAGTGAGGTACCATCTCAAGCTGGTCAGAATGGCTGCTACCAAAAAGTCTACAAACAATAAATGCTGGAGAGGATGCAGAGAAAAGGGAACCCTCTTACACTGTTGGTGGGAATGCAAACTAGTATAGCCACTATGGAGAACAGTGGAGAACAGTGTGGAGATTCCTTAAAAAACTGGAAATAGAACTTCCATATGACCCAGCAATCCTACTGCTGGGCATAAACACTGAGGAAACCAGAATTGAAAGAGACATGTGTACCTCAGTGTTCATCGCACCACTGTTTATAGTAGCCAGGACATGGAAGCAACCTAGATGTCCATCGGCAGATGAATGGATAAGAAAGCTGTGGTACATATACACAATAGAATATTACTCAGCCATTGAAAAGAATACATTTGAATCAGTTCTAATGAGGTGGATGAAACTGGAGCCTATTATATGGAGTGAAGTAAGTCAGAAAAACACCAACACAGTATACTAATGCATATACATGGAATTTAGAAAGATGGTAACGATGACCCTATATGCGAGACAGCAAAAGAGACACAGATGTATAGAACAGTCTTTTGGACTCTGTGGGAGAAGGCGAGGGTGGGATGATTTGAGAGAATAGCATTGAAACATGTATATTATCATATGTGAAACAGATTGCCAGTCCAGGTTCGATGCATGAGACAGGGTGCTCGGGGCTGGTGCACTGGGACGACCCTGAGGGATGGGATGCGGAGGGAGGTGGGAGGGGGGTTCAGGATGGGGAACACATGTACACCCATGGCTGATTCACGGTAATGTATGGCAAAAACCACTTCAATATTGTAAAGTAATTAGCCTCCAATTTAAATAAATAAAGAAAAAAAATTGCTGTAAGAATAAGTGATTAACAAGTGATTTCCCCATGAAGCAGAAGCTTTTTAACTTTCTATAAATTTCACAGGGAAAAAATTAAAATGTGTTTGCTTGATTTATACAAATAGAAAAGCAAAGAAAGCTAGCTAAGAGTTTATTTGCAGTCTATTAAGGTAATTTCTAGGAGATTTAGTTTATACAAAGTAAAATTTAAAACTATTACAAACTTTTATAAATTTACCTTTTTTTTTTTTTTAGTTATCTAACAGACTTTGAACCAATTCAGTGCATGGGCCGTGGGGGATTTGGAGTTGTCTTTGAAGCTAGAAACAAGGTTGATGACTGCAATTATGCTATCAAGAGAATCCGTCTCCCCAACAGGTATAGATGGTACTTTTAGTAAACTTGGAGTTGGAACTATATTATCTAATCTCATAGTCAATATGTCCTTCTTACTGTACTCCATAGAGACTATAGAAAACATAATTTCTGAATCTAATGTCCTAAGTGCCACCAGGTAATCAACTCTTTTAAAAATGTCATCTACTTTAACCGCTTTGTATCCTCTTAAAAAATATGCCCTGTTTTTGATTCTTAACAACTCAGAGCATTCCCACTGTGAATTTTGGTAACTACAAACTTCTATTATATATAACCATTGAAAAATAATCTGTATTTATTGTGGAAAATAAGAAATAGTATTAAAACAAAGACCAATCCATGTCTGCTTTACCCAGTAATAACCAACTTTTAACATTTTAGAGTATTTTCTTTTGATTTTTTTTACTGATCATAAATTTACCTCATTGATAGCACAGTCATCAATATAATACAGTTTATCTATTGCTTCCTTTGTTGTGTGCTCACTATTTTCCTTGCAGTTAAGGGTTTGTCATTGAGATGCTAAAATATTTTGAAGATGTGTTATGACTGGATAATAGTCCAATGAATCCTTGTGCCATATCTTATTTAACTGTTTGCTGTCATTAAATACTTAGGTTTCCAATTTGTTGAAATTAAAAATAACTTTGCAGTGTTCAAATTTTACGGAAAATTTTGATCACATCTATTTCCTTAGGATAGATTCCTGAAAATAGAAGTTTGGGCTCAGAACGTGTGCTACTTAAAATGATTGGCTTTCAGTAATACCTTTCTTGCCATCTACTGTTGAAGCCTCCTGTGGGTTCTTTTCTTTAAATGAATGTATTTATCTTTGGCTGTGCTGGGTCTTTGTTCTGCACGAGGGCTTTCTCTAGATGTGGCGAGCAGGGGACTTCTGTTACTGCGGAGCACGGGCTCCAGGGAACATGGGCTCAATAGTTGTAACGCACAGCCTCAGTTGCTCCAGCCGGGCGTGTGGGATCTTCCTGGACCAAGGACCAAACCTGTGTCCCCTGCATTGGCAGGTGGATTCTTAACCACTCGACCGCCAGGGACATGCTCTCCTCTGGATTCTTGATTAAACGTTCACTAATTGCTGGACTGTCATTCTAATGAATAGTTAAACATACTGTCCAACAGATAGAGACACAGGAATGAGACGGTCTGAGTGAGACAGGCTGGAACCTGGACCCTTTGCTGCGATGCTTGCACCTAGACACACCTCTCCTCAAGGAACAAAATATAAAGAAACTATTACTACATAGGACTAACAAATAAGTGCATGCATGTGCAGTTGGAGCAAATTGTGGACAAAAGATACAAAGAGACGAAAAACCCAACTGCCACTTTTGAAGATCCTGGAGCAAGAGCAGGGTACTGTGCATGCCGTCTGCATACAACACCACCTAAGGCGTGGGCAGACTACCTAAGCCACCCCTCTGGCGCAACCCCTGGACACATGCCTACACTCACCCCATGTAAGGAACCAGCCTGCCCCTCCTCAGGCAGCGAGTGAGCAAGGGAACCTGTTGTTTATTTTTGCTGCCCCTGCTATAGCACGGGCCCCCATAAAGCCTTGCCTGAATTTCTTATCTGGCTTCTGATCAATTTCTATTGATTAAGGAAGCCAAGAACCCTGGTTGGTTGGTAACATGAGTGCTTTGATTATAATTTTCTTTTCTTTGATGTATAATTTTTGAATAGTTTAAATATTCCTATATATTAGGCTCTGCATAGGATGTAAAATTAAGAAAGGCTTCTGTCCTTCAGACCCTGTAACTATTTGAGGCCCTTGTATATGTACTCAAATAACTGCAAAGCGAGGAAGATTGTCACCCATGGCTTAGCTTAGTAAATAGGTTCTCATGAAGAAAGCACAGATGTAGCCAAAAAGCAGTCAAGGAAAGCAAGCCTTATGATGGTGGTGATGTCTGCACCATGTTCAAGGGGAGCCTGTCCGTTGGTGGACACACATGTAGGGAAGGACAGCCAAATGCACTAAGTGGGCTGAGCGTAGTCTCTAGGCAGACACTCGCAGAGGTGTAAAGGTTAGTAAGGATTCTGGCAGGAGTGAAGCAAGGTTAAAAATGGAGGGGTAGGACTTCCCTGGTGAACATTGGTTAAGACTCCATGCTTCCACTGCTCAGGGCATGGGTTTGATCCCTGGTCAGAGAACTAAAGTCCAGTAAGCTTTGCAGCATGGCCAAAAAAAAACAAAAACGGAGGAGAGTATGGAAGAAAGATGGGAAAAGTGGCTTCTAGCACCTGAAATGCCAGGCAGAGGAGTTTAGATTTTACTCCATAGATAGTCAACTTTATGCCTTTGAGCAGAAGAATGACATGATCAAAGTGGAGGTGGTATGTAGTAAGAGACAAGCATGTAAGCATGTTCAGTAGATTTTTTTTTTTAGAAGTTCAGTCCTAAGATGCAGAGCATTAGTACAGCAGAAGTGGAGACAGAGGAGGAAGGAATTGTTCAGTTGCTCACTTGCGTCCGACTCTGTGGCACCCCATAAACTGCAGCACCACAGGCTTCCCTGTCCTTCACTATCTTCCGGAGTTTGCTCAAACTCATATCCATTGAGTCAATGATGCCATCCGACCATCTCATCCTCTGTTGCCCCCTTCTTCTCCTGCCTTCAGTCTTTTCCAGCATCAGGGTCTTTTCCAATGAGTAGACTCTTCAAATCAGGTGGCCAAAGGATTGGAGCTTCAGCATCAGTCCTTCCAGTGAATGAATATTCAGGGTTGATTTCTTTTCAGATTGGCTAGTTTGATCTCCTTGCAGTCCAGGGGACTCTCAAGAGTCTTCTCCAGCTCCACAGTTCAAAAGCATCAATTGTTCCACACAGTCTTTTTTTATGGTCCAACTCTCACATCCATATATGACTACTGGTAAAGTTATAGCTTTGACTATATGGACCTTTGTCAGCAAAATGATGTCTCTGTTTTTTAAATGCTTTCTAGGTTTGTCATAGCTTTTCTTCCAAGGAGCAAGCATCTTTTTTAATCTCATGAGTGCAGTCACCACCACAGTGATTTTGGAGCCCAAGAAAATAAAGTCTGTCACTGTTTCCATTGTTTCCCCATCTATTCTCTATGAAGTGAGGAAGGAATGAGTATCAGGAATTAAAAGGAGGAGCTGATAGGATTTGGTCACTGAATGTGAAGAATTCAGAAATCTGTTGGAATTTTCAGGGCAGGGCCATTAACAGTAATAAAGCCCAGAGAGAAAAGTGGGAGTAGCTGACTCTCTCTTGGGGAGGGAAGAGGATATAACATATTCATTAATATTATGTTGTTTCAGGTGATGGTGGAATCCCTTGAATGTGAGCTTAGATCCATCAGAAAAGGTGTCAAAGCAGATCAAATCCAGATGCTTTTCTGGCTAAACATTACTGTCTGTGATATTCAGTGAAAGAAAGTGTTAGTCATGCAATCATGTCCGACTCTTTGTGACCCCATGGACTGTAGTCTGCCAGGCTCCTCTGTCCATGGAATTCTCCAGCGAAGAATACTGGAGTGGGTTGCCATTCCCTTCTCCAGGGGATCTTCCTGACCCAGGGATCAAACCTGGGTCTCCTGCATTGCAGGCAGATTCCTTACCATATGAGCCAGCAGGGAAGCCTGAGGCTTTAAACAGTCAGGGTACACATACAAACCTTTAGGATTCTTGTATATACCTTGTCGGGGTGCTCCTGTTTCCTCCAGAGCTGCCAGGCTGAGCTCTCTTTTCTGAATACTTCACTTCCACCTCTTCATCCCCCTATTAAGGAATGAGCATTAAGCAATTACCTGTAAGGGTCTGTAAGTTAAAAACTCTTTATTTGAATGGATGGATATACTTGTAGCACTTATTTCTAGAAGAGAAAAGAAATACTCTACATTTTTTTTTTTAATACAACACTTTGTTGGTTTTTAGAATTATGCTGCTAGGCTGATTTTTAAGCAAGAATTCTTTTCTTATTATTTTGCACTGTTGGATATAATTGCTTCTTCAGAGCAACCTTCAGTGTCTTCTTTGTTTCTCTGTTCCAGGGAACTGGCTCGGGAGAAGGTAATGCGAGAAGTGAAAGCCTTAGCCAAGCTTGAACACCCAGGAATTGTGAGATATTTCAATGCTTGGTTGGAAGCGCCACCAGAAAAGTGGCAAGAAAAAATGGATGAAATTTGGCTGAAAGATGACAGGTAACTTGGTTTGACATAGACTTAAAAATGAGTGTTTCTTTCAGGTTAGTCTTTGACTTACATGAATAAAAGATCCTTTCTATTACTATAACTTTAGAGGTTTTTTTTTTTTCTAAACAAAAGAATAGCACATTACTGATTCTGTTACCATGTTTTAGAATCTTCTCTAGTTACGTAAGTTGGTTTAGTTTTTAGAACATGAACTTTTTTTTTTCCTTTTTTTGTCCAGAACGTGAATTTCCAAACTTATTGGTAGATAGGGCTATATGATTTATAATTCCCTGAGGGGTTTACAGTAGCCTTTCTCAATGAGAGACATTGTCTGACTTTTGTCTCCATTTTTTATTTTCAATTTTCATTTAGTTTCTTAGGATTGATGGTTAGCAATTTTACAACTCCTTTCTGAAGTAGTTTTAAACTGCTTGCATTTAAAAATATGTGAACTTGGGTAACCTGTAGATAATTCCTATGTTAAACATGCTATTCCCTAGGAGAGAAGGTCCTTTTTAAAAACTACTAAATAAAAAGAATAAGGAAACAGGCTATTTACTAAAGGGCTGGAGTAAAAATAGACTACTTACTAAAGAGCATGAGTACATGCGTGTATGCGAGCATATGCATGCTCAGTTGTGTCCGACTCTGTGACCCAATGGACTGTAGCCCACCAGATTCCTACGTCCATGGAATTTTCCAGGGAAGAATACTGGAGTGGAATTTCCTCCTTCAAGGGATCTTCCCCACCCGGGGATCAAACCTACATCTCCTGTGTCTCCTGCATTGGCAGGTGGATTCTTTACCACTGAGCCACCTAGGAAGCCTGCTTACTAAATAGATTACTTACTAAAGAGCTGGAATAAAATTTCTGCCTAGAAGTACCTGACACAGCCTAGATCCATATGAGGTACCTAGTTAGCTGCAGTGACCATTGTCTATAGCCCAGCCACAGAAAGACCAGGAGAAGTGGCTCTGTATGTCAAGCCCTGATTTGGATGGGGGCTTCCAGATCACAGGTACAAGGGTTCCTGGCCTTGGTCTTCCTTTGTGCTTTCTGTTTTACATAGAACATGGCTGCTCTGGGCATGACAGTCTCAGATAACAGTTTCTGGTATGAAATCAAGCTTTCCAGTGAAGGAACGGCCTGACTCTGAGCTTTGTCTCCTGTGGCATGTTTTCATTGAATTTCTGTGTCTTCCTCTGGGAACTGGCTTTATTATAGATGAAACTTTGGAAGCAAAGGGTGTAGTTACAACATTGTAAGTCAGCTATACTTCAATAAAATTAAAATCAATGGAGGGTAGGAGGGAGGCTCAAGAAGGAGGGCATATATGTATACTTAGAGCTGATTCATGTTGTACAGCGTGCATGCTAAGTCGCTTCAGTTGTGTCAGACTCTTTGCAACCCTATGAACCGTGGCCCACCAGGCTCCTCCCTCCATGGGATTTCTCCAGGAAAGAATACTGGAGTGGGCTGCCATGCCCTCCTCCAGGGGATCTTCCCAACCCAGGGATCAACCCCATGTGTCTTACGTCTCCTGCATTATCACTAGCGCCACTTGGGAAGAACATAAGATTGTAAAACAGTTGTACTTCAGTAAAAAAAGAAAAAAGATACTCTAAAAAAATTTAATAAGCAGATAGAGGATGTAGTTCATGCAATTTAACCTGCACATGTTCACTCCTGTGCCTTTTACTTCTCCCACTCTTAGCACAGACTGGCCACTCAGCTCTCCTAGTCCCGTGGATGCGCCTTCTGTTAAAATACGCAGAATGGATCCTTTCTCTACAAAGGAACGTATTGAAATCATAGCTCCTTCGCCACACAGCAGCAGGTCTTTTTCAGTTGGGATTTCTTGCGGCCAGACCAGTTCATCTGAGAGTCAGTTCTCTCCCCTGGAGTTTTCCGGGATGGACCACGGAAATGTGAGCAAGTCAGCAGATGTGGTATGCCAACTCCAGGACAGCTGCCTTACAGACTGCGAGGGGGAGGATGGTACCATGGATGGTAATGATGAAGGGCACTCCTTTGAACTTTGTCCTTCGGAAGCTTCTCCTTATGTAAGGTCCAGGGAGCGAACCTCCTCATCTATAGTATTTGAAGATTCTGGCTGTGATAACACATCCAGCAAAGAGGAGCCCAGAATGAACCAGCCGCCTGTGGGCAACCATTATGCGGATAAACTAACTGCGCTCCGGCATTCCGGTAGCAAATCTCCTTCAGGACCTACTGTGTCTGTTTCTCCGTCAAGACCGACCACTTTAAGTTTAGACCTCACTAAAAGCTCGGTGGGGAAACTCCAGCCCAGTTCGCCCAAGGTTTATCTGTACATCCAGATGCAGCTGTGCAGAAAGGAAAACCTCAAAGACTGGCTGAACAGCCGCTGCACCATTGAGGCGAGAGAGAGGAGCGTATGTTTGCACATCTTTCTGCAGATTGCAGAGGCGGTGGAGTTTCTGCACAGCAAAGGGCTCATGCACAGGGACCTCAAGGTCTGTTATCTGTGGCTTGTCACCCGAGGGTTTCCGCCTGTTTTATTTTTCTATTCATTTTTTTCGTTTACTTATTTTTTTAAAAAATGATCTTATTTCTTTATTTGAGTGCATTGGGTCTTTGTTGCAGCACACGGGATCTTTCTGTGCGGTGGCTTCTCTTGTTGCAGAGCACAAACTCTAGAGTGCTTTGACTTCATTAGTTGTGGTGCACGGGCATGCTGCAGTCCATGGGGTCACAAAGAGTTGGACATGACTGAGCAACTGAATTGAACTGAACTGATAGGCTTAGTTGCTCCCCAACATGTGGGATCGAACCGGTGTCCCCTGCATTGGTGGGTAGATTCTTAACCACTGGCCCACCAGGGAAGTCCTTTACTTATTTATTTTTCTTTTTAGAAGATTGACTTGACTTTTCTGAACCACTTTTCAAAGTCAGACCCATCTGGGCCAGCCCCCTAGGAGCTGACCAGCCAGGCTCCTCTGTCTGTGGAATTTCCCAAGCAAAAATACTAGAAAGGGTTGCCATCCCCTTCTCCAGCACTTATTTATTTTTATTGAAGTAACACAAAGTTGTGTTAGTTTCAGGTGAACAGCAAAGTGATTCAGTTATATATATATTCCCAGTTGAAAAGTTCTTTACTGTGTTCATTCTGACCTGTCATTGAGCCTAATGTTAAGCCTTCTAGGCCCTCTAAGCTTTTTATATTTTGGTCACGTGTTTGTCACATGCCAGTCTCAGCATAACTGCCAGCAGTTCTCAGGGCTCCACGTTTTAAGTCTTTTGGAGGTGCTGGGGAGAAAAGTATTTTTTTCTGCCGCTGTTGATCACAAAGTCCTGGGCTTTTCTTCTAATTGATAAGCCAAGGACACACTGTTGTTCATTCGCTGGTTGTGTTCAACTTTTTGTGACCCCATGAACTGCAGCATACCAGGCCTCCATGTCCCTTACCATCTCCTAGAGTTTGCACAAGTTCATATCCATTGCATGCCATCCAATCATCTCATCCTCTGACGTCCTCTTCTGCCCTTAATCTTTCCCAGCATCAGGGACTTTTCCAATGAGTTGGCTGTTCACATCAGGTGACCGAAATCCTGTACACATACCCATCCCCAAACCAATCTTCTGGCCAGGGGCTGCGATTATGCTTATGGTGGATGCAAGCTCTAGATGCAACCTCCAGATAACATCCCACATGAACCATGGACTTGCTGCCCAGAAGAAGGAAATTTCTAAAGTCACTTCCAGATGCTTCCAGTGGAAGCATAGAGGGATGGATAGACGCTGGAGAACCAAAAAGGAACCAAAGTCTGTTAGTGTTGGGTACATAGAAGCTGACACCAGAGCCCAGAGAGGAGAGGAATGAGGAAATTGAAGGCAGCACAGTCTAATCCTATCTCTTGTACAAGGTTATTTGAGGAAGAATAGAGGGTTATGTGCAAAGTCACTCAGTCTTGTCCAACTCTGCTCAACCCCATGGACTGTAGCCCACCTGGCTCCTCTGTCCATGGGATTCTCCAGGCAAGAATACTGGAGTGGGTTGCTATTTCCTTCTCCAGGGGATCTTCCTGACCCAAGGATTGAACCTGCGTCTCCAGCATCTCCTGCATTGGCAGGCAGATTCTTTACCACTAGCACCACCTGGGAAGCCACATTTGAAGCCCAATGAAAGTAAATTTTATGAGCTAAATGGCTTTTTCCCCCTCTTATTTCAAAGGCCTATGAGTGATGGTCATGTTAGCTGAGGTTAGAGTAAGCCGTAGGGAAAGATGATAATATTATATATACATATATATATATATATATATATATTTTTT